CTGAGGGTGGGGAGCCACTGGACTGTGACCTCTTGGCCTACTGGGCAAAATGCAGCCAGATATGGCAGGATCTGGCCACGGTTGCCTGGCAACACCTGTCCTGTCCACCGACCAGTGGGCCAAGCGACAGGGCGTTCAGCATTGCTGGGGATGTTGTCGCACCCCACCGCACCTGCTTGGATCCTACATTGGTGGAGCAGCTGGTGTTCCTAAAAGTGAACCTCCTGCTGCTGGGGTCCCCCAAGCTCCACGTGCAAACAGACTGAGTGCCACCCTCCTCACTCCGTCTGCACCAATTTCCTTTTCTGAGTTGTTGAAAAGCCGACTAATGCCCCGCCCTCAGCTGGAGGGGGCACTAACTGCATCACTAGCCAGCAGGGGAAGAACGTGTCCCTGCTGAGCTCATTCCCCTGCTAGGATGAACTTGGAGGTATGGGATTGGGGCTATGGGGAAGGAGGAGGCTCCAGGTCCTGGGCATGACCACTAAAACTGCACCCTGCCAGGGTAGGGAGGCCTGGTGGGACTGCTGGTGGTGCGGCAGCCCCGTAAATGCCAGGACCAATGATCCCCTGGTGAAAGGTGGGTTGGAGGTGCCATAACCTCCAGCTAACACATGCGTGCACAAAGTCCTGGCTGGGGAATGCCCAGACCTGTCACGTCTTTGACAGGCCTGACGTTTGCTGGTTGCAGTGCACTTGTGAGGCTCCCTGTGAGCTCAGCTTAGCTGCCCGGGATGCCAGCTTTAGGGTTGAAAACCCCTTTGTCAGGCTGAGGAAGCACCTGCAGTTGGTCCAGGATGGAAGGAATAGTAAAGAAGCCAGAGGCTGGCCTGGCACGCAATGCAGGCAAGAAAGCCGGTCAGTGAAAATGGAAATGGAGGCATCATGGGGGAGAGGGACAGGCTGGGGTGGGGGGTAGGGGGGAAAGGGAGATGTAGCAGTGCAGGTAAAAGTGCAGAGGTGCCTGGGGTATCAGATGTCCGGCAGGGCACGGTGGGCCCTGATGAAGTGCAGTTCATAGGCCCAGCTCTGAAAAGTGGTTTGTACATTCCAAAGATAAATTTTTTAAGTACTCCTTTATTTTTTCATAATACACATATAGACATAAAAACACAAGATAAGCCATCACACACCATGAATAACATTATATGCCCAACACAACACAACATCTTTACATTTTCCTGTCAATTCCTTTATAAAAAGAAAAGCGCTGTGACAGTTCTGTGTGGGTGCCTTTGATGTTGCTGCTGATGCTACTGGTGTTGAGCCAGCTAAGTTATTGTTCCTGTTGTCACGTAAAGCGGAGGACCAGGCATGAGGCTGTAGGGGAGGAGGAGGCCTCAGTGGGGCACACTGCCATGTTGTGCAGAGGCTCCAGCGCCAGGAAGGGTGCACCTTAACACACACACAGTGTCACCCACCCACATCACGAGCTTTGCCTGTCAGCAGCTTGGGGTGCAGTTCCCCCCAAACCCCTGCACCAATCTTCTTGAAACTTGGCAGGCTTTGTGACTTCACCAGGAGCTACCATTCCTGCAGTTTTCAGCCCTCTGCGCCTTAACACACACAGGGTCACTTGTGTCATGAGTTTTGCCTGTCAGCAGCTTCGGGTGCAGTTCCCCCCAAACCCCTAAACGTATCTTCTTGAAACTTGGCAGGCTTTGTGGCCTCACCAGGGGCTACCATCCCTGTAGGTTTCACCCCTGTGGTGTAACACATAGACGTGACAGGAGTTTTGCTTTCAAGAATTTGGGGTGCGGTTCCCCCCAAACCCCTACACCAATTTTCTTGAAACTTGGAAGGCTTCATGCTCTCGGCAGAGGCTACCACTCCTGCAAGTTGCACCCAAATCAAAGCTAAAATAACAAAGTTACAGATATTTAATTAATCCCCCATTATAACCTTTAGCCAGCGGCTCTGTAGCTTCGGAGCCGCTCCGGCCAAATTGAAGCAGCAAACTGATCCGGAGCTCTGGATCAGATCACAGCCATCCAAAGCAGCTGGATGCAAAGCTGGATCCGATCACTACCGACTCGCACGGGCCTAGTGGGCATGGCTCATTTGTATAGTTATAGCAGCTCTAAGAGAAGGCTAAGCCCTACTAGAATTATACAACTGAAACAAAAACTCCTATCAGGTTATTCCAGGAAAACTTCAGATAAAGCAATGTAATACAAGTACTTCATTTAGGAGACTGTTCTGTGCACAGCTTGTCAGTCAATTAAAATGTGAGGGCTCTTCATGTAATGCTGAGTGACCCAAGAGCATGTATGTACTCGTGGCCTGGCAGGGCCCAGCAGTATGGCAGTGGCCATAATAATGGAATTCATTCTTGCTTAAACTATGGCCATCTCCAGGAGCAGTTGGGAGTTGGCCCCCAATATGAAGAAGTTAGGAAAGAATAAACCAGGGGATATGCTGCCCACAGATTTCTCCTTGATTTTTGCCTTGGAGAGCCCTACCTGCATCATCAGAGGATGGTTGGCTTTAGGATAGACACACACTACTACAGAGTATTCATTCATTTATTTACAAGAAAAGTTCTTGTTTGTACAGTGCAATAGACTAGAAAACCACACATGCAGTTGTTTGGAACAGGCTCAACATAATGTCATTTCCATCAGGGAACAGAGGACCTGCATTTTCATCTCCAGTGAGCAAAAGGCAGGGGAGGAAATAAGTCTTTTTAGTCCCACTTTGGTCAAATGAGCCACTGCATCCCTGTGAGATGTGTGCACCATCTTACTTATTATCATTAAACTTGCTTATTATCTGCTAACTAGATGTATCTACATGTATAATTAATGCAAAGCAATAAACTCTAGCATCTATTGTGTGAGAGTTTATTCCTCCTGGGTGCCATGCACTGCAGCACATTGAGTTGGGTCAGAGCAGCTCCAGCTGGCAGGGAGCTCCAGGGGTCAACCTGCCAGCTGGAGGCTGTTCTAACCCAGCTCAGCATACTGCAGAGGGGTTGGCTGGGGCATGAGGATGCTTCAGTGTGAGGCTAGCTAGCAGGCAGCCCCCATACTGAAGCACCCTCATGCCCCAGCCAACCCCATCAGCATGTGACACGTGCGTTGTTGCACAGTAAATAACACCACCACAGGATAGTACTTGTAGTAACCTATGGAGGCATTTATTAGTTTATTGAGACTTAATAGGATCACACATGCAGATGAGGAGACTTTACTGTGGAGCTAATTAGGCAGTAAACTTTTTATGTAAACACACCCACTGGGAACAGGTCCCAGGGAACCAACATAACTCCTGCTAATAGCGCTACAGACCCATGCAAAAAGGTAGGATGGAGTCCTTCTCTTAAATGAATTTCCTGATTACGTGTTGCAGCACAGTTAAAGTCCATTTGTGATGTTGTAGGGACTGTACACTCTGCAGGAAGAGGTATCAAACCTGAAAGCTCCAAAGTGACGTACCAGCCCAATTCCTATTTCCTTGTCCCCTTCTGTCTTAAATAAAAGGACAAAACCACGGGAGCTGGGGATCTTCAGGCCATGCAAATTCCATGTCGAAGTCTCAGTTTGATCTCACGCTCTTTCATTCTTTCAAAGAACTCTTAGAAAGTGAGAAATGAAGGGCATTACTGAAGTAACGAGAAAGCTGGAGGCTTCAACTGAAGTGCTCAACTGAAAGTTTTGTTTGTGGAAGCACTCTAGGCTGCACCTTCAGATAATATTACTTAAAGGAGTTAAATGTGGCCAAAACAATGTGGCTTCTACTATATTAAACCAGTGGTGTCAGAGGAGCCACAGATGAGTAGCTGTGGGCAACTTAGCCACTCTTGTGCTTGAGACCAGGTGTAACATTCAATGTTCCAGTGCAGGTTGCTTTCAGAATGAGGCACAGAACATAGGAAAATGAAATCCCCAGTTCCTGGCTTCACTTGCAAGGCAGGTCTTTGTCCAAAATGGCTCCCTTAGAATGAGGGAGGTGGGTTGGGGATATGGCTACTGTGGAAAGCATTCGTGACTTGTTCATTCTTAGCAGCATTGGAGGAGGAGGATGTGGGTGCCTCATTCTTTGGAAAATACAGGAATACAAACCAGATGAATATGAAGAGACCTGTAGGGACACAAAAAGAAAGACACCATTAGCAGGTCAGGCATGGAGACCTGGGAATCCATCTGCTGGCAAGGCCTTCTAGCTAATGGCACAGGCTTGTTGGTTAAAGAGTTTTGAGCTAATTCCTGGTCTCAGTGTGAACATCTGAAATCTGATAACAGCTCCAACCCCACTTGTGCTGCTTCCAGTGGGAAGTTCACTTGTCCCAAAGCTCATTCTTCCTTCCTCAATAAGCCCAAGGACTTCTGAGGTTAATTTGAGTTGGTTCAATTGAAACCACTAAGCTCTGATTTGCTCCATCTATTCTGATTTTTTTGGTAGTGTTCTTTCACCCATGAGAGGATGGATTCTGAGAGCAAATGCTTCCAGGCAGACAGTGGATATGGGATGGTTGCCATACTCATACTGTTGTTTCTGCCCATTGGCAAATACAGCCTTCCACTTCTGTGAGGGGCCCCAGTCCTTAACTGAAGTGGTCCTAACAGCACTGCAGTTAGAATGTACCTGCAGAAATGGCCCTTCGCACTGCCAGCCTCTTTACCAAGGAAGTGTGGCTGGCAGAGAAGTTCCAACATGCCCTGCTGCAGCTAGCTTTGCCATTTAGTTCAGGATGAAGTACTGCCTGCTAGGATTTTAGCCCAACTAAAATCTCTCTGTTGAAATGGAAGGCAGTAGTGTTCTGGTTTCATATACTTTATGTACCATAAAGATAGCCTCTGATGAACTACCAGTGCAGCTGCAGGGCAATATTTGCGCACAACTGCTATTGTAGCAAGGATTGCTTGTGCTGTAGCCAAGAGCTTTCCTGACCTTGGAGAGAGTTCAGTATACCGAAGAAGTATAGTGCTGGTACAGACATGGAGCCATAAGTGAAGAAAGCCAGACCCCAGGTGGCTCCCAGTAGGCAAGAGAGACCCAGCACCGTGAGGCCCCCCTTCCAGGCCTGTGTCTTCTCTCCCTTCCCTGCTGTTATGCTTTGAAGGCTGAAGAGCTTCCAGGCCACTATCCCTAGGACCAAGGCATTGAAGAGGAAGACAAGGCAAAAATAGCCACAGTCTGTGACATAATGGACAGTCAGGTGGTCAGAGTTTATCCAGCACCTGCAAGAGATAGCAACAATGAATGTAGATTGAAATCATAAGTTGTAGTTTTCAGACCAGGGAGTCAGTCCATCAAGAGGGACAGAAGACCAGCAAATCTTATCTTCCATGTCTGAAGGGCCTGACTACATGAAGCTCCTCCTTCTGTAAAGGCAGGAGATGCATTATCATGGGGACAATTATGATGGAAGCAGGAGAACTACAGGGTAGGGAGTGACTCTTCTGCTGTGTGGAACACCTTGGTGCTGAGTGCCTCCATCCTGTGCTTTGAGCACTCCAGCTTCTCTGTTACATCTGGAATTACATCTAGCACAACACCCATGGAAACCGACAAACGTGCCTGCAGATGATGCATGTGCATTAGGATATAGCAGGAAGGACTTGGTAATGCTTGGTAATGCTACTGCAGGTAACTTGTAACTGGAAACCTAGAAAGGAAGCTAGGTGTGAAGCTAAGATATAGTAGAGGCTGGCTCTGATATAAAAGGTCTCAAAGGGTCTCGAAGATCAAGCAGCTCAAGGATAAATGGAAAGTTCTGTCCAGTTTTCTTTCCAAATGAAAAACAACAGGACTAAGTTAGCTTTGTTCAGGCAGGCATGTTAGAGCAGGTAACTTACAGAGAGAGTGTGGTCCGGTTTGCCATATCCATAATGGTGTATTCTCCATAGCTGTTAATGCTGCCTGTTATAGTGACCACAATAGCAGGGAAGCCTGAGTAAAACAAAGGAGCAGTCAGTGAATTGTAGGAAGCTTTGAATCCCTGAGAAAGGGGATGTTGGAGTTTGGTTTCATTTTCTGTTCCTAAATGCTCTGACCTCTTAAGAGACAGCAGACATTGTAGGAAGCCATTTAGGGAACATGTGATATAATGTGGGAGACTAGATTGGAAAGATCTGGGCTCCCTGTGCCAATCTCTGTGCAGAGTTATGGTACCCTCTACACACCTGTAACATTATTTTCCAGTGATGTTTTTAGATAATAAAGATATTTAAATGCAGAGGAGGCTATAGGAGATCTAGTCCTCTTAATGTCAAACTCTAGTCCCAAATGGGTTTGACGCATCCTTTAAGAACTTTCCCTAAATCTTTCTGGCTAGCAAATTCTCCCTGAACCTGACCAGATGGGTCCTAGCAACATGGGGGAAATGTTTCTTACCCCAGCCTATGAGGCACAGCTTCACTAAGTAGTATTGTATGTATGTGTTGACGACTTTGATGACCAAAAGGTAGAAGTGAAAGCCCTCAATCGCCATCCAGGTGAAACAGCAGAGCAGGCAGTAGTGGGTGAAGCCTCCTAGGCCCTTGCATAACCCTGGGTGGTCCAGATGATTAATCCCATTGTTCAGCAAGTAGGCTACATTCAGGATGAACAAGCTGCCACTAAGATTCATGTGGATCTTCACTGTATTGTCAGACTTGAATTTTTTGTAAAAAAACCTGAGACACAAAATGAGGGCTGGTGAAAATGGAGGCCAACCTGGGGAAAGCACTAGGAAGGAAAAGATTACACAGATCAAAGGACATCACTGTCTTCTGAGGACTCAGTTCTCTCTTGCCACTTAGGAAGTGAGGGAGGGGTGATGAACTCCCTTATCATCATTTTTTGATAGGACTATGGTCAAGGGATGCCCAGAAACTTGTGTTACAGATTTAGTCCCTCCCACCATGTTGGGAGAGTCACATCTTAAATCCAGATCTTCACAACTGGAACAAAGAATAGAGAGACATGGAAGGAGTTAGGGAGAAAACAAGGGAACCAAACATGGGTTGGAGGAGGCAGAAGACTTGATGATCATCAGGTAAGAGACTGGAAGCTCTTTGGAGCAGATTTATCATGTGTATGTGTGCGTTGAGCAGTGCCATGAGCCTCAAACCTCTTTTGCGCCTCAGAACTTAATCCCAACTCAAACAATAATTAAGTGGGTTGAGAGTGAACAGCAGAGAGGGGAACCAGCTCACTAGGAATGTGTCATATTGAATGAAATAGTTTGAATGTTTGTAAAGGTTGCCCATTAGCCAGTTTCAGGAAGAAGATAGGATTTATCTCCTTATCTAGTTCATTGTTTTGGGACTACGTGAAAAATGTCCTGACTTCACTTAAAGCCTTAATTTAAATTGTAGCTTTAGAAGTCTTTTACAAAGAAAGCAAATATCCTGAGTTCCGAGACATCAAAGCCTAAGGCCTTTTAACCAAATTGGTAAGAAAAGGATATTTACAGTGATATGGAAGTCTCCCCAAGAATAATTTAAAATGCTCAACAAAGGTAATTTCAAAAGAATCTGTTGAGTAAGATCCGAGCCCAAATTTGGGAGTTATGACAAGTTGAGTAGGAGGAGCCCCACTGACGGCAGCTCGCTCAGTAAAAACCTGTAACTTTCTGTCCCAATTTGGAGGTGACTTCACTTGCAGAACAACGAAGGAAGAATCGCAAGTGTACCCCGGACCAGATTGATCACCTGGCCCAACCTCTCCGTGAACACAAATCTCTTAGTTCATGCTGAAGCCGCGGAGCGCCCGAAAGGGACTGAAGGAAGGGGACTTAGTCCTATCACTGCTGAGCCCAGCTCATTGAATCGTATTGCTGAGGCCAGCCTATTGAACCGTACTACTGAGGCGAGCCCATTGAACCGTACTACTGAGGCCAACCCATTAAATTGTATTACTGAGGAATGAAACCATATTTTGGTATTTGGCTTCTCGGAATTCTAGGATTGTAAGTATATTATGAAAAATAATAGTATTGATTCAAATTTAACTTTTAGTTGTAATTGTAGTTGTTTTTGTAACACTAATTCTTATAGCATTGTTTGGGAAGGAAGTGCATTTGGAGCATTGTTTCTGATATATGTAATTATTGTGTTTTTAATGTTTGTGGTGTTTCTTAAAGCTAAGCAGTGTTATATACGTAGCAAAGAGTTTTAAAATAAAATTGTGTTGTATGAATTAAGTGTGTAATCATTGTGAAATCATGCAATCAGCTAACTACTCCCCCAGCCAGTGCATCAAAACGAATCAGTAAATTGTGTGGGATTTTCTCTATTCCATAACCCACTAGAGACAGAATGGTACTAAATGGCACTTGCAATGGAGTGACTGCAGTGTGAGGGATTCACCAAGAAACAGTACCTTGGACAGCTGTTCTTCCCCCAATCCTGTCTTCTGTTTGGCTTTAGGCAGAATTTGGGTCAATCTCAGTCTGGGTATAAGCAGGTATAAACTCACTGCAATTATTGGAATTGCAACAGTTCTCATTGAGGTAGACTTGCGTCCTCAGTCCCTGCATTCTACCACTGGGAAGACAGTGTAGTCCTATGGATGGTGCACTGGACTGAGATACAAAGGACTGAGATTTTATTCTTGCCTGCAGCCAAAGCAGATTGGATGCACCTACTCTCATGTGACATTGGATGTCTTAGACCTGGCTAGCATTGGGATGAGAAACCACTGGGAATTCTGGAAAGACAGTCCTTGTAGGGATCTGAACTACATGAACCTTGAGATCCCTTCCAAACCCATGTTTCCACTGAACTATTCCTGGCATCCTAGAGAGAAGCTGAAAGCACCTTACCTTAAAAAGAAGTACAGGATAATAGTGATGGATAAGAAGACCATGGAAATTCCACAACCAACATTTGTTGTAGTCAACAAGGACTGTGCTGTGATGTTGTCTATGGATGGGTTCTGTCAAACACAGATGCTCTGAATTAGCTCAGGCACAGATGTGGTATGAAATTAGTGAGCAGTGTATTACAACTCAGCAACCTGCTGGAGCTGTAAGAATAGCAATGCTTGGAGGAGAATAACAGCAAAGACTCCTGTTGTTTGGTACAATCTGGGTGCATCTACATGAGATGCTAAATGCACAGTAGACTAATTCAAATGTACATTAGTGCATCATGGCAAAAGCTGTGCTAATGCTCAGCAGAATTAGTCTATTGCACATTAGCATCACTCAAAATGAATACGCGCAGTAGCACTGGGTATTAAGCTTTGAGTTAGTACTTGTTATTACAGGTACAAAACTTAATGCACAGTAACTATGGCACATTAATGCATGTGTAGATGTGCCACCTGAGTGGGAAAATCTATTCCTATTCAGATCACACAAGTAAAAGTAGCAAGGATGCTACTCCTTGGAGGACATTCAATGGAGAGGAGAGAGAGGGGCAACAGCAACATGTCAGTAGCCCCTGACATACCACCCAAGGGTAGGGAGGAGGATCAGGAATTAGCTATGGTTATGATGGATTATAGTAATTTTGTAGACACTCAGACTTGGAGCAGAACATTTACTAATTCTCTATGCTTCAATAATTTACAGATAGTTTGCAAGGCAGGTGTCTGGATCAAGAATGTTTTCCCCATCCATCCATCAATCCAAGATACTGGATTTGATTTGCTTCCAATTTTCTAACTTTGACTAGTACAGAGATAGAGTCCAGATTTGTCATTTGGGCTAGGATGATTTTATACCTCCTTAGATGAAGTGTTTGGACAAAACCGCACTAGTTCATGTCCAGAATAACTCTGGTTCAGATAAATGAAGTATGTGTGACCTAAGTGGCAACAGCCAATATCAAAACAATAAATGTGAAGTGTTCTTGGTACCAATAAGAGAGTGAAGAATGTTAGGTGATCACAGCAGCACACGGTTTCTGTGTCATGGAGTTTAGCATGGCATCCAGATGAATTCCATCCTCCATTCTGACCTACAAAAGTCACGCAGAAAAGTCAATTAGTGTAAATCAGGCACTTCCTCAGTGTGAGCTTTCTGTGACACAAATAAGCACACTGGAGATCTCACATCACAGTGTAAGGAAATACTATGCAGTTTCTGGAGGCAGGAGAGAAGGATGAAGAAAGAAGTAGAGGGTAGGATTGTTTGCATAGCCTGCAACGAGTGTAATACATGCTCAGATGTGACAGTGATGAGAAACATATACAGACTAGATGTATATGTAACTACAGAGATTAAATAAATGCAAGTGTAAGTATTGACACACACTCTCCATGGCTACCCTGTCAGAACCAGAAGCTGAATATATCGAGTAATGAAAATGAAGCAGCACATTCAGTATTTGGGTTCACAGTCTACTTCTCTGGGGGATCCTGTATCAATCATCTGGCCACAGAGAAGTTCTAAGGTCTGGTCATCATGACATCTCTGAGGATTATTCTTCAAATACTAATAGATTTTTTTCTAGTGGCTCTCACCTGCCTAAGGTAAGAGCCAAACATACTGAACTGGAATAGACATTGGATTGGGTGCTTCAGATTTCTGAGCAATGCAAATGTCCAAGCAACGCAACAAGTCCAAGACGGCAAGCTACTTACTGCAACCTTAGTAATCCCAAGTATGCTACCAAAAGTCCATAGCACAATTTGGGGTGGGGTGAGTGGGGCATCTGCCCCAGGGGCCAACTCAGAGGGGGCTCCAAAATGGCAGCCCCCAGGGAGCAGCAGTCCATGTTCAGGAAGATGAGATGTCAAGAGCCTGTGCCACATGCAGGGCAGCCCTATGTGAAGAGGTAGAGTGCTGCCTCCCCTCTGCCCCTCTCCTGCCACAGTTCAGATAAGGCGCTTGGAATGTCCCTATTCAGCATGGAGCAGATTTTCAGATACAAAGATAAAGATGGGCCCTCTTAACCATCAGGGCTGGGGAGCTGGCAGGCCAACAGGGTCCCTTGGATCCAGTCACACTCTGGTGCACCCTTTGTGGACAAGTGGCTTCTTCTTTGCCTTGCTTTTGTCTCAGGCTCTTCCATGATTGGTTCAGAGCCTGACCATTCTTCCTGTGTACAGTGCGGGTCTATTCTCAGTACTGCAGGAACAGAGGCAGGGTAGGTACCTTTATTAAAGTCCCAGAAGACACACTGGCGGGTCAAATTCTGAAAGCACAGAGAAGGTTTGTGATCAGGGAGGCCTCATTGAGGAGGAAAGACATCAGATTGCAGGGAGGGCTAAAGGGACTGTAGCTTGCCTGAGGCAGCTGTTTGTGCAAGAAGCTGAGTTCTATGCATTCACGGAGTCCAGTGATCCTCTTGCCCTTCACCTTCACACTGACTACTACATTGTCTAGGACAGTGCCTGTCTGATTTGGTTCCTGCATGACAATGGCCATAATTAGTCTGTATGTTTAAACAGGAACCTCAGCTTGCCAGGCTAAGGTATAACCCATATCCACTCGAGTTGTGCTCTGTCCTCCTTGAGTGGTGGCGAGGCTTATGAGCTTTCTGTACCATACCTAACAAGCCATATTTCCTACGCTCAGGAAGTAGCATGAGCTACTAAAATCTACAGGCCCCAGGTTCAGGCCCATTAAGAATCATGGTGTCACTAGCAACCATTGCACTGGCCCTGGAGATGATGAGGGTCAAAGCAAGCTAGTCTAGTCAGTTGGCTTGTTCCTTTCTGAACTGCCTAGGGCAGTGGTTCCCAAACTGTGGTACATATACCACCAGTGGTATGCAGACAACCAGTGAGTGGTATGCGTGTAGGTGGCAGAAGGCCAGGGGGCGGGGTGTGCACAGACACAGATACCCAGTTGCAGCCTGCTGCAGGTGGCCAGGAACACAGCCTAGTCGCATATGGAACAGTGCCCAGCAGGTAAGCGTGTAGGGGGGGAAGGAGCATGGGGGGACAGAAGGGGCTGGAGGGTGCACATGAATGCTGGGTGCCCCTGGGGGCTGGGGGGGCATGGTGACCACCCACAGGTGTTGGCGGCGGTGTTGGGAGTGGGGGGGTGTCGGCGATGAGTGGGGAGCTTCTGCAGGCAGCCACAGCAGTGTCAGTGGCTGTCGGCAGCATCAATGGTGTTTTTTGCAGGGGGTGCACATGCACCTGTGTGCATCCCCTACATGTCGCCAATGGGGGTGCAGATCGAGCCCCCCACAGTGA